TCTTGGACGCCGCGAAACAATTACTCTTGCGCCCCATGGCTATAATTTACTTGGATCGTGAGTTTTTAACTTCAATCCAATTTATTCTACAATCCTCTTTTCCTGACTACATCTACTATTAGAGGAGACGTTGTAAAACTTCATTCCTTGCAAAACTTTCTTACAAACGTTGAAAAATGCAACAATACATGTTTTCGTAACAATCGCGAAACTTTGCGAAAATCCGTTTAATAAACAATTTAGTATATTACTGCACACGATAGCAGGGCATTCGATTCATTTTAATGGGAATTATAACAATAAAATTGTAACAATACTTTGAAACGTATTCCGTATGACGTATTTGGATGCCTTGTGCATTTGTCGTATAACAATATACGCCGGTCTGGTTGTTGAGCATCAGTGTCGATGGAATGCATATCTATCCATGTCGGGGAATAACGTTACTCTACTACTGCCACGTACGCGCCCTACGATGTCATGCTGTAGACTGCACCCGCCATTACTATCGTTGCGGCAATGGCAGAAGCGTGGAAGCATCAGAGACGACCGCGAGTAATCCGATATTACCGAGCCGCTTTCCCTCGCGGAGCTGATGTGTCTTCATAGGAGACGTCGTAAGAGTTTTCAGCCAATAGGGGCTTATTGTTACGAAAAGCGTACTTACCATTGTATCCATACAACGCGCTCGCGCGGTATTACGTGTACCTTGCGTGTACATTTACATTGGGTAAAGGTGTAAAGTTAATTCCTTACTTGTGTTACATTATATTAAGATAATTATTCAATTGGAAAGTACGGTTTTGCTAAAGTATCGAAAAATTTTTAAAATTAGCTCGATTTACACATTTAAAAATAATTCTATCAGACATCTAAATAATTATGTAGGACGCTAAGCGTTGACGACAATACTGCAAAAAGTTTGAATATTCTAGCAACCAGTTTAAGTATCCTATATCATTATTTTGATGCTCTAAACGAAATTATTTTCAGATCTTTCTAGCTAAATTTTTCGATATTTCAGGAAATTCGTTCCCTCCGTGTTTCTATTTGATATAGGTATAATTTTTCTTTTAATTCTCGAATATATATTCTCTCTTGAAATTCTGGAATTATTTTTATTTTAGTTATTTAGAAATATTATTTGTTTTTTATAAATAAGAGAGAGAGAGAGAGAGAGAGAGAGAGAGAGAGAGAGAAAGAGAGAAGATGAACATCGTACACTTGGAAAATGAAAGCATATTAAATTTAACAGCTAGCTGTATCTTACGATATCTGA